TAACAACTGCATTCTATACTAAAAGTAGGACATCAAAATGAACAATATTTAGGTGGACAGGAGCACTTGGTCCTATAGTGAATGATCTTAACACTTAGTATAGACAGCTGGATAAAGGTAAGACTTGGAACTTGTGAAATCCCAAAGAATATATGCATTCATTCATTCAACAACATTTACTGAAAGCCAACTAAGTATGTGCTAGGTTAGCATGTACTACACAAGTGCTAAAGATAAAAGGAAAAATAAAATATCGTATACAACTAACAATAGTACAAGGTAGTGATATATAAACAAATTGCAAAGAGAAGGAATGAGAAGGATTCATTAATGTGGGAGGTAGCCTTCTAAAATGGCTCCCTGCCTTTTGGTATTTATGCTCTTGCATAATTCCCTCCCCTCCCCTTAAGTGTGGTCTGGACATAGTGATGCTTATAATGAATAGAATTATAGCAAAAGTAATGGGATGTCACATCCAAGATTTGGTCTAAAAGATTATTATTTCCATCTTGCTATTACCCTCTGTCTTTGGCTTTTTCTCTTGCTTGCTCTAATGAAGTAAATTGCCATTTTATGAGCTGCCCCAATGGATAGTTTCACATGGGAAGGTACTGAGGGCAAACTTTGGCCAATAGCAAACAAGGAACTAAATCTTGCCAACAACAGTATGAATGAACCTGGAAATGATACCTTTCTAATAGAGCCTTGAGATGAATACAACCCTGGCCAACACTTTGATTGCAACTCTGTGAAAGCCCTGAAGCAGAGGACCCCATTCCTGACCCACAGCAACACAAGATAATAAATATTGTTACAACCTAGTAAGTTTTGGGGTAATTTGTTATACAGCAACAAATAACTAATACAATTAGGAAGAAAATCAAGGGTAATGAGAATAGAAGGAATAGCATTTGTAGAGATGAGAGTGTATAGGATAGATTAAATTCTGGAATGGCAAATGATCTTGTGTGGTTATAGTGTGAAATATCCTTTAAGAATGACTTAAGATAAGATTTGAGATGAGGATTGGAGGCCAAATAGTAAAATGTGTTTAATGGCATTTGTATCAATCAGGGCTCCCTCAAGAGAAGCAGAAACCTCTCCAAATATTTTAAACAGAAAAAGTTTAATATGGGGAATTAGGTGCTTATGAAACCATTAGAAGTGCTTAAAACTAAGTCTGATCATTGCTATGACTATAATTGCCTCTCAACACCCAAGAAGCTAGGCTAGATTCTGGAACTTTGCTGCAGAAAAAACCAGTATTTCCATGATCATGCTTGCCTGTAGCAGTAGCTGAAGTAGCATAAAGTTCATCTCTCCTAACTGCCTTCTAACTCATGTGGATATGCATTAATTGGTAGAACTTATTGGATTCCAGAAGTCCAGCTGTAGACAGTCTGGGAAAAGTAGTTTTCATTTGTCATCCTCTACAGTTTAAGAAAGCACACACTCAAAATGGATGCTGAATGCCAACTCACCATATCCACTTAGTATAGTAACGTGTTTGGACTTCCTTCTGGAAAAAAATGGTGAGTCCTCAAAGTGTGAGGAATGACATAATAAGCTCTGTATCAGAGAAAATACATTTATGTGGGAGAAAAGGATGGACTGTAGGTGTGACAGAGAGTTTGCTGAGATTGGAAACAGTGCAGTGGTATAGAAGAAAAATGATCAAGAGCTTGAACTCGGGTCTAGGAAATACCAAGGAGAGGTCAGAGGATGTGTAAGACAAAGTAAATTGAGCTCATTCCAATTCAGTTAATATTTAATGCCACCATTCAAACTCTATGTCCCTTAATTCATGTACCCTGAATGACACTTCTCTGGGGGCTGTATTTTCTGAATGTAACAATAGTACTCCAGGTACTGTACTTTCTTACTGTATTATCAAATCTAATAATTCTTTATTCTTTATTAAGCTTAGGTCTGTATGATTCAGGCTTAGAGTGGTGCTGAAGTGAAAGAAACACAGCACAACAACCAAAATTCACTTCAAAATAATACTGTTTTATTTATTTTTACATTTCTCAAAAACTATGACCATACATATGCCACAGCAAACTTGGTAAAACATTTCCTTCCAATCCTATTGACTTCCATCACAGCTTCCAAGTACTCTGGGGCATCTCCTCCCATAAATCCCCGAACTCTCTCTTGACACCTAACCCTCTGCAATTTTTTTCTTTTCCTCATTCCCCTTCCATCACTGCCTCCTCATTCCTTGATTGTATAGGTTGACTTAGACTCTCTCCAACAAAGTAAACCCTTCTGGTTTGGGGTTTATTTTGAGGAAAATTAGACTGGCAATTAGAGAAGTAAAGTGTGCATAGTAATGTTTGTCCTGCCACAGTTTTCACTGTCAACTATTAGGTATATTTCTTTGATTTTATTTCCAAACTAATTTCTCCTTATTCCCTCCCAAGACACTTGCATGCTAATGGCTTAAAAATCCTGATCTTTAGTCCTACCTTTCCCCCATAGCTACAAATTTACCTGCTTTCTAGATACTTCCACTCACATATTGTTTCCATACCAGAAACACCACATACTCAAGCCAAACTCATTATCTTCTATCTCAAATATGCTTAATTTTTCTTTGTACCCTAACTTGGCTAGTGAAAGAACCATTCACGTAGTTGCCCAAGTTGAAAATTTCACTGTCCTTGTTGAGTTACTTTCATATCTCATCAGTTAGCCACTATTTCTGATTTTAGTCTCAGAAATCTCTCTGGAATCCATTTTCTGTCCTATCTGCACTGCCAGAGTCCAAGCCCTTATCATTTTGTACTGGTACTCTTTGTCTTACTGTCTCTAATCCCTCTTTTCTGTAGTTCAGCAATTCCCATTCACTGATCCTGGGATCAGTTGGATCAGATTCTCTGGGATTTATTTTGCTTTTGTTTATGTGTTTGCTTCAGTACATCTCTCTAGGTCCTAAACATGAAAAAACATTCTGATTCTTTTGGGCTGGGTTAGGGGCCCATGATTTTGAGCTTTTATAAATCTCCTTCGATGGGTCCAGTGATCAGCTAGATTTGGTTTAACAGTTTCTTGTTATATGTATGATGTAACATATTTTACATCACCACCACTAGAATCATTTTTTAGAGTCCTCAAAATCTTATTATATCCCTCTGATGATCATAACCCAATGATGCTTTCCTGTGCCAATCAGAGAGTATTTAGCCTAGGAATTAAGACACCACAGAATTGGCTCCTTGCATAACCCCCCTCCAGTTTCATTTTTTTCCATCTCTTCCCTATTGCCATGATACCATAGGCTGTAGCCACGATATACAACTGGTTACCTAGGGAACATTGCTCCCTTTTTCATATCTCTGGGCTTTTGCAAGACTGTAAAGCTCAGATTGTCACTTTTTTCCATCATTTCTTGTCAAAAATCTTATGGATCCTTAAGAGCCTAGCCTAAATAACATAACTTTCATGAAGCCTTTCCAGATAAATCAGAAGTTGTTTCTCCTCTGAGTTCCCATAGTCTGTGCTGAAATTATAGCATTTAGTACAGTTAGGTTCAAAGTACTGTGAATTGTAAATTGTCTCTCCTTCCACATACCGAGCTCTCTTTTTGCTTAATGGTAATGGTATGTGTATGTAGCGGGCCAGGCTGTGGTAGGGGAAGGAATGTGGAAGGAGAGACCACTGGGAAGGTAGAAGGAGTTAGATCCCAATCATAGGACTTGTTTACTTGCTCTCAGCATGTCCACATTATCCTAAAGGGTTATCTTAAGTACAGTTCAGAAAATTATTTCTTCTAGTTGATTGGTAAAGGCCAATCCTTTGATTGGTACTTATCAGTGAGTTAGTTGTCACTGGTAAAATGAGGAAAATAAGGTCCATGTAGTCAGTTTTTCATAAAACTAGACTTATTTAGTGACTCTTCTTTATTCTGATTTTTATAACTTTCTCCTTTGCTATCTTTTGTAAAATGATAGCAGTGTTAGAAGTATAAATTTTAGATGTTTTTGTCTGAAAATATGAAAAAGTTAAAAACCCTATTTTGAGCCCCCAATTTAAAAAAGAATCATTGGTCTATGAAATTAGGACTACTGGGGCTCCTATTGCCTGGATATCTGGGAAAGGGCCTGGAAGAAATGACATTCCAACAGCAATGAGCACATCTAGATTTTTTTTTTAAGTTTATTTTGAGAGAGATAGGGACAGCACAGGTTGGAGAGGGTCAGAGAGAGACGGAGAGAGAGATAATCCCAAGCAGGCTCCACACTGCTAGTGCAGAGCCTGATGCAGGGCTCAAATCCACAAAAGTGTGAGATCATGACCTGAGCTGAAACCAAGAGTTGGATGCTTAACCAACTGAACCACCCAGGTGCCCTGAGTGCACCTAGATCTTTATTTCCATGACCATTCTCAAAAACATCCAACCAATCAAACAAAAAACCCCCAAGGGATCCTTGGAGAAATGGCTGATTTTAGGAGTGGGGCAGGAAATATATAAGATGAGCCTGGGTTATCATACAGTGCCAGAAAGTAAGGAAGTACACAATAAAAACACCATGATGGGGGTAGGTCAAAGGGACACAAGAGCAAACTGAAAAGATTCCCAATGATCAAAGCAGGAACAATTTGAGCAAAAAATAAATTAAATAGCATTGGATTATAACATAAAGTAGAAAATAAATATTCATCCACACTGATGTAAATAAAGGATTGAATAAATTAATGAGGGAAAATAGATGAATCTCCTCATAGGAGAATTCCAAATAATTTATGTAGATATTCTGCTTTCAAGGAGGCAGAGCATAACTGACCTCGATTTATGTATGGGCTATGCATAGTGACTTCTTTCCAAAGAGTACAGTATGGAAAGAGGGAAAAAGAGTAACTTTACATTGGAGAAAACTGATGGACACCAAGGTTAATATCAACAGTGATAGGTCATGTTGATAGTATGTATCTTTGATATGCTGTGATGAAAATAGCACTTTACCTTTCTTTGTGTTCTTTCTCCCCTTCTCCAGTGTAATCATAAGAAAACATCGGAGAAACCCCAGTTCAAGGATATTATGCACAATACCTGACCAGTACTCCTCAAAATTGATGTGGTTATCAAGAACAAGGAAAATCTGAGAAACTGTCAAGCCAAGAGAAGCCTATGGAGACATTACAACTAACTGTAATATGATATCTTGGGTGGGATCCTGGAAAAGAAGAAAAGATATTAGGTAAAAACTAAGGAAGTCAGAATAAAGTATACATTTTAGTTGATAATAATGTATCAATATTGGTTCATTAAGCCTGGCAAATGTACCATACTAATATAAGATGTTAATAATAGGGGAAACTGGCTGTGGGGTATATGAGAACTCTTTGTTACTATCTCCACTTTTTTTCTAAGTAAATTTAAAACTATTCTAAAAAAATATATTTTTTAAAAAGTAAATGGCCTTGGGGCGCCTGGGTGGCTTAGTCGGTTAAGCATCCGGCTTTGGCTCAGGTCTTGATCTCACAGTTCGTGAGTTTGAGCCCCACATTGGACTCTGTGCTGCCAGCACAGAACCTGGAGCCTGCTTCACGTTCTGTGTCTTTCTCTCTCCACTCACACTCTCTCTTTCTCTCTCTCTCAAAAATAAATAAACATTAAAAATTTTTTAAAATAAAAAGTAAATGGCCTAGATACTAAAGGAGGACATCCTAACTCACATCAGCACTGTCTGGAAATTTGGGCATTTCCTGGAGAACAAACACAGAGGAGAATGCTCTGAGCTGGTTTTAATATTATTAAAAATGCTCTTAGATCAAACCTGACCTTACATATAGACTATTATGATAAACAACTAAATCTTATTTACATTTAACTGGGAGATTGAATTGACAAATAATTGCTTTTCTTCCTGTTTGGAAACTTAAACCTGTGTGTGTGTTTGTGTGTGTGTGTGTGTGTGTGTGTGTGTGTGTGTGTGTGTGTGTGT